GACCAATTTCTTTAGACTGTGTGGGCTGTGGGGGGGGGGGGGGGGGGGTTGTTTGCATCCCTGAAATGCATTGGAGGCTTTCTCTTCTCTTTGTGCTATACAGGTGAAACTCGAATAATTAGAATATCGTGCAAAGTTCATTTATTTCACTAATGCAACTTAAAAGGTGAAACTAATATATGAGATAGACTCATTACATGCAAAGCAAGATAATTCAAGCCGTGATTTGTCATAATTGTGATGATTATGGCTTACAGCTCATGAAAACCCCAAGTACCCCAAATCCACAACCTCAAAAAAGTAGATTATTACATGCAATCAATAAAACAAGGATTGTACATAGAACAATATCGGACCTCTGAAAAGTACAAGCATGCATATGTACTCAGTACTTGGTTTGGGCCCCTTTTGCAGCACTTACTGCAATTACTTTTGCACGATATTCTAATTATTCGAGTTTCACCTGTAGGTGGATCAATCAAACACTATTTTGGGCTCCTGAGACCTTTTTTTATTTGGCGCTCTTTTCTGATTTTTGAGGACCGGGTAATCCTGTCGACTCTGGGGGAGGACGACAACAATTAAGTAAACCCATATGGGGGACAGGACAGGCCCTCTTTAGGATGAGTTCATGATGGCCATTCCCCACATTCCAGATGATCCCATCTGTGATTTTACGCTGTGTTGTGTCTGTACTTTTCCCTGCACACCTTTCCCTTTACGCACAGTGCCATGTGAGATTATAATTTATTTAAATTGCACATATATTCTGAGCGAATGATCTGTACAGCTGTTATTGTCAAGTGTAAATAAAGTTTGATTTGTATCCCCTGCTCAGTTGACTTCCTGTGTGGATCGGGTGTATGTGTCCTGTATGTTCTGATTTTGACTTGACTGTTAAAGAACAACCAAGCAGCCAGCAAAACCATCCAGCAGACTGTTAAAAGTCTGGCTGAGCCTGACTGAGCCCCCCTCTAATTGCATTCCAAGTGCATCAAAACAGAAGGTGTGCGCAGCCCTGCAATTCATTTTCTTTAAAGAAAATCCTGTCCCCTGCCATCATGCTGCCGAGAAGGACTCTTGTTCTTTGTGTTGAAGCAGTGGTCTCTCTGCAGAGGTTTTAACACTTCCCCCTGCTAAGTCAGAGCTCTCCAATCAGCAGGAGCCGTGTATGCGTGGTCAGTTTGCATCCCTGCTTTTACTGCAACCTCGGCACTCCAGCTGTGGTGATACTTCAGAGCCTCCTGGGTTTCATGCCTGTGGCTATCGGTTTTGCAATGCCTCATGGGATTTGTAGTTCCACAGCAGCTGGAGTGCCTGGGGTTGCTTGCCTCTGGTTTACTTCATGCTTGGCATGCCTGTATCCCCCATAGTCTGTTCCCGCATAGTCTTCCCAGCCTTGTTGATTGACAGCAGCTCCCAGCCGGATCCTTGCTGTCAAACTGCAGCGTAAGGCGCGTTTTT